AACCTCGCTCTGAAGTCTTCATATTTGTGGGTTATCCAAAAGGAACAAGAGGATGTATGTTTTATAGTCCTTAGGATAACAAAGTGTTTGTATCGACAAACGCTACGTTTCTTGGGCACAACAATATGGCACATTTTAAGCCAAGAAGCAAGATAATTCATGAAGAGTTGTTGGCTTATCAAATTAGCCCCACATCGACAACAGTTGTTGGACAACAAAGAAGGGAGACCACTGATCGTGATCAAACACCACCGCCACCACGACGGAGTGGGAGGGAAATAAGATTACCCACCCGCTATCGTGAAAATAGAGAAGCAAATGTTGCAGTCACTAATGGCAGTGAAGACGATCCATTGTCATACAAGATGGCAATGGATGATATTGATTAAGAAAAATGGCAAGAAACCATGAAACTAGAAATGGAGTCTATGTACTTCAATTTTGTATGAGAGCTGGTAGACCTACTAGAAGGCGTTAAGCCTATTGGTTGAAAATGGATCTACAAGAAAAAAAGATGAGCTGATGGAAAGCTTGAAACATTCAAAGCAAGATTGGTTGCAAAAGGTTTTACCCAAAAGGAAGGAGTAGACTATGAGGATACTTTTTCCCCTGTAGCCATGCTAAAGTCCATCTGCATCCACTTATTTATTATCGCTCATTATGACTATGAGATATGGCAAATGGATGTTAAGACGGCGTTTCTGAATGGCCATCTTGAAGAGACCATTCATATGGTCCAACCAGAGGGTTTCGTGGTAGAAGGCCAAGAGCAAAAGATCTGCAAATTGCCGAGGTCCATTTATGGACTAAAGCAAGCTTCTAGATCTTGGAACGAAGCCATAAAATCTTATGGTTTTGAACAAAATCTTGGTGAACCTTCTGTCTACAAGCAAATTCAAGGAGATAAAGTGGTCTTCTTGGATCTTTATGTAGATGACATTCTGCTCATTGGGAATGACATAGAATTGCTATCCAAAGTAAAGAATTGGCTAGACATCCAATTCCAAATGAAGGATTTGGGAGAAGCCAACTACATTCTTAGGATCCAGATTATCTGAGATCGCAAGAATAGGCTTTTGGCATTATCTCAGACATCGTATATTGACAAGGTGCTTGTCGGGTTTTCGATGCATAACTCCAAGAAAGGAAATTTGCCTTCCCGACATGGAGTTCATCTCTCCAAGGAACAGTGTCCAAAGACACCCCAAGAGGAAGAGGATATGAGACGAGTTCCCTATGCATCGGCGGTTGGTAGCCTGATGTATGCAATGCTATGTACTAGACCTGACATATGCTTTGCAGTAGGGATGGTTAGCAGATACCCGTCAAACCCATGATTAGATCATTGGGTTGCAGTCAAACACATACTTAAATATCTGAGGAGGATGAGAAACCATATGCTAGTATACTCTGGTGGGGATTTGATTCCTACTGGATATATTGATTCTAATTTTTAGTCAAATAGGGACTCTCGCAAGTCCACATCGGGGGCAGTGTTCACTTTGGGAAATTGAGCCATTTTATGGAGGAGTATCAAGCAATCTTGTATTGCTGACTCAACCATGGAGGCTGAGTATGTAGCAGCTTGTGAAGCAGCTAAGGAAGCAGTCTGGCTTTGTGAATTTCTAAAGGAATTGGAAGTTGTTCCAAACATGAATGAACCCATCAGACTCTATTGTGACAACCGTGGAGCAGAGGAACCACCGCAAAGGAAAGAATATATAGAGAAAATTCCACCTGGTCAGAGAGATTATTTCTAGAGGAAACGTTTCAGTTGAAAAGATTGCATCCACGAATAACATAGCTGATCCGTTTACCAAAACATTACCAGCTGGGAGTTTTGAGAGACATCTTGAAAGTATGGGATTTAGAGACATGTCTCATTTGCTTTAGGGCAAGTGGGAGACTCTTGGGGTATATGCCCATAAATCAAATAAGATATAAATATTTTTGCTGATTGTTAATGAAATGAGGAATTTTTTTAATATTATTTTGCATGCATGTCATGTTTTATAAATATTAAAAATCCCTAGATTATTTAAGATATAACTTTAAATATTGTATATAAGTATTATATGCAGAGGATAATGTTTGAAGTAAAATAATCTAAACTTGTTCGTAATTATACATTAAAGTTGAGATGTTTAATTTAAAGTTACTAGTGTGGTTCATTACATTTTGAATGAAACAATCTTATCATATATTGTTAATAATGAAATTATTGGAATGAAAGCACTGTATGTAAAATGATTACATAGGATCGGAACATGATTAATTATGAATCTCTAATAAATTCCGTTATTAAATAGAGCATTCAATATTAATCAATGATGGTCATATATGAATTAATCTTAATTATGAGTAATTAATAGACTCCTTTTATGATATTATGTTCTTTGACATATTGAGTAATGACACATATGAATAGTGTCAAAGTCTTGGTATATTAGGAGCATAGTAAAATAAATAGCCGGGAATATTAATTTACGAGATGAAATCCATTCCTTCATAATGAAGTAGATGGATGGTTCCGATAAGTGTTTATTCGAGACTTGAATAATAAGAGCGCTCAATTTTATAATTGGATCATAAAATATATTATTCATTAGAAAATCAATGGTACTTATAGAGCAATATATAATTAAAGAGATCAACGAAAAATTCCTAGCTTTAATTATGAACCGTTTATGGAGGATTAATTCGTATGTGGTGACTATATCAATGGACAACACAAATTCCGTGAACATTATTATTTTATAATTTTTATATTTTAATTAAGGTGTTAATTAATTGTCAAAATTATTGGAGCTTAAAGTTATAATATCTGTAGTTCCTATCAACGGCTCCATAAAATTAATGTGAACCGTATATATCATATTGAGTTATGTTTATTAATTTAGAATTGAGAATTCTAAATACACATATTAATTAATTCGATTAATTAATATTAAAATTAATTTAAAATTGTTTTAAATTTATATAGATGACCATACTTTTGAGAAAAGTGAGTGATAATTATAGGTGACTTTTCTATTCATCCTTCTCATGTGTTGAGAAACTCATTAGAATGCCCACACGTTCGAGTTCACATTGATCCGGAGATACGTTGAGAAAGAGCCGTGGTATTCTTAGAATTTAAAGTTCATGACGGTGTTAAAGGAGTTCAAGATTAACGTCATAATCGAGCGACGGTAACATTCTTCTTCTTCTCTTTAATTTCTTAATAGTTAAATTAACATGAAATAATAATCGCATTAAAATTTTAATTTATATGATTTGATCGATACCACACTTCTGCATAAATTTTTTAAAAATCCGGTTTGAGAAACTAACAGATAATACCAATGAAATATCGACATCATTATCGAGAATTTAATCAGCAGTTTCCGACAAAGAAAGGTGAGTCAAATACCTTAAACTGGAAGAGCAAAATTGACCTGGCATGGAGAGAAGAAATGTTCTAATTCCCAATCAAGCTGGAAAAGTATTCCCGTTGGTTAAAACCAGCGTTTTTTTTTTTTTTTGAAAAATAAGACTATTTAGGAATGGCAAGGATGTTAAAAGAGCAAAGTACATACCATAAAGAGGTTAGGAGAGAACTAACCACCAAGAATGGCAAGGAGAGTGAGAGCACATGAGAAAAATCAAGCTCTCAAATTAGGAAGTCTTGTTTGTCTCTAGAAACAGAATAACATGAATTCAGAGTGAAGGAAATGAAGGAAAGAGATGGAGATTACCATGAGAATGGCAATAATTCACAGCAGATAATGTAGGAAAAGAGTTGGTCGCTGTATGCTGTTCCAATTGCATGAGTAGAGTGTATAAATATATATATATATATTTATTTATATATATATATTTATATATATATATATATATAAATGTATGTATGTGTATAAGTATATAGAGAGAGAGAAAATTATTTTAGTATTGCAACCAAGTTGGTGGAAAAAGTTAAAATGCCAAGAAAATCAAGCTGCTAATATCCCAACAAATTTGAAACATCAAAAGTTCTCTCATACAACGAGAGGTAGCATCAGAACTAAAGAACAATGGATCTTCAAAAGCACATATGTGGTTCCTCTTTTGTTACCTTTTTTTTTTCCAGAAATTACTACCATAGGGAAAAGAAGCAATTTCGAAAGAGACATTAATAACAGATAAAAAAAAAGGTTCCCTTTATGAAAATATGAAATGATATAGGAAAACCTCAATTTTTATACAGAGTGGAACTAAGAAATTACTTTGAAAGCTTTAGAGCACAATTCGGGTTGTCGAACGATGTATATCTGATCACCACAACTATCTTTCTTGTATATATCTTGATTTCTGTGCCAAGTCCATAACGCGTATGTAGAATTAACGACCTGCACCAGCATAAAAAAAAGATTTTAAGAGAAAGATGACATCTGTATGTAAATCTAGGCAGACCACAAAGCTATATAACACACTCAAAATACACAGCCAAACAAATTACTGGACTGCAAAAATGTTTCATTTAAATGAAGCTTATAAAAGGAAAAAGTCCTTGGCGCAAAGTAGGCTTTCATTTCAAAGCCTTGATAAGAGAAGCTGAAATTGTACCTCAAATATGCCATGCCCAAAGCTGCTTTCTCTGAACGCACTCCACTCTGGCTGTTCGTCCCAACAAAACTTGCCTTTAGCAGGACCGGAAGTAAAGTTCAAATGACACACCCCTCCAAATTCTGGTATGTTATCACTAGAGGAGGGACACTTTCCGGGGTCATCAGCATGATCAACGTCAACTTTTTCAATATTTCCACCGTCTCCAACAGTTATGTAAACTGGCCCACAAGGATCCAACGTATAGTTAAAGACTCTATTCATTCGCTCATAAGCATGCACCTGAAAAGTAAACAGCATATAACACGATCATCCAATTTTGCATGTGAAATTTTGAAGCAAATAAACCAAAGAAAAAAAAAAATTTTCCACACAGATAAGCACCTTAATGCAATCATCGAAAAACAGAACAGGCTTCAACTTACATGACCAGAAAAAACAACATCTACATTGTATTGGTATAGAAGTGCTTCCATTTCCTGCCTCATACATTCAAATTCCTGATAGTGAGAAGCATAACTATTGTACCAAGGTGAGTGCCATGCAGCTACCAGCCATGGGGTGACGGCATGGTCCACTCGAGCTAGATCTTTCCTTAGCCAAGCATACTGAGCGCCTTAATGGGAGTCAACAAAAACCGAAAAACCGTTTGGGATTACTTACTTAAGTCCAAAAAACTCTTTGCGTAAGGAACAATGAAACTAGCATGGTTGGTAAAAGAGCACAAAAGAACTTTGCAAAGACACCAATGTACTTTTATGATTATTTCAAGAACCTAGATTATTTAGCTTTTGACACATCTTTCTACTATTGCTACAAGTAAAATGGTGCTTCTTTAAAACGCATAGCAATCACAAATTGAGTCTAAATCCGCTATAAACATAACTTAGAACTTGCTATAGTGCTCACAACAAAAGAAGAATAATCAAAAAGAAGGTTTCGGATACCAGTGGCATTGTAGTCAACATATGCTCCTAACATGATAAAATGTACTCCTCCAGCATCAAAAGAGTAGTACAAGTTACTTTTAGACCCACACTCCTCTGAGGGAACTGCGAATCTTTTCAGATAGGACTGGAAAGTGATTCCAGCAACTTGAGGTTCAATCTCATGATTGCCTTCAATAACCATCATAGGAACTCTCGATGTTAAAGGTTCCATGAACCTGAAATTCCACTGCATTCGTGTTGATAGTGCGCCATTTCAAATTCAATACAATTTAGATAGGCAATCACATTCACCGTTTATGTGATCAAAGCTAGCTAATCAAGACATATCTTTGATGGATCAACTAGCTAGAGGCAACATTAGATGTAACGACACACATCACCGAGTAACGATCTAAACAATAGAATGACTGCCCCAAATCAAAGGACATCTGTTTCTACACTTTGAAAGAGATAAAGATTCATTGCTTGGCTAGCATCGCAGTCAACTTACATCATTCTAGCCATAAAGTTGATAAATGCTAATTAAGAAGAAAACATAATCATCTATACAAAGACCTTTCTAGTATATGCATGAAAGGAAATGAAAATAGGATCCTTCTACAATTTGGTTAATTTATGGTCATACATCACCTTAGCTAGTTCACAGTCATGCCTTCCTATCGACATCAAATGACTAAAATACTAAGAAAGTTACCTTCCCCAGCCATCCCAACGAGGTTGGTATGTCTCTCGAATAGGTGCATCTGGGAACGCACATGAGAAGCACGGGGCTCCTTTCCCGCCGGTTGTACGGTACTGATTCGCATAGCTTAAGTCCCCAACCATTAAAATCATTGAAGGATTGTTTTGAGTCAGATGATCAATGGTTGTGGTGGTATTGCTGGTGAGACCCAAATCTCCAACAACGGCTATACGATGAGGATATGCATATGGGCTAGGCTTTGGTGAAGATTCAAATGAATGCACTTTGCTCAAAGCTTGAAAAGAGCTATCCCCACACTTGTAGAAGTATTTGGTTCCAGGTTCAAGACCTGCAACGGAGAATACACGTCCTTACTTTTAAATACTCTTTTCTTTTACTAATGAGTTTCTTGGTGTCCAAATAATCTTTAAAGTTCGAGCACTAAGCCAACTTGTAACCCCGTGTTTTAAACCATCATCCCTACCAGTCCTAGTAAACCAAAATCCTGCCTCTCCAACACAGCAAATTATTCCTTTCTGCTGCAACTTTCAAACTTATCTAACAGTTGGTTACTTACTAGAATCCAATTTCAGTTTTTAGTACCTAACATGTCATCACAATGTACAGTTTTGCTAAGCACCAAGTCAACATATTCAAGTGAAGTAATGGCTATCGAGTCATCAAAACTCAATCTAAGTGCCAAATCAACCTGAATTTTGTACATTATAGTACTAATAAACGAGCCAGTCTATAAGAACTACTCTTATTTTTCCCTGAACAATGTCAGTAATGTCACTCTGTCCCCCCAACATTGTTCCTCTAGCAAATATTGGAGTCCTTCTGTTTGTTTCCGACACATTTTGTGGCAGGGCAAGGTGCTATAGTGATATAGTTTGGGATACAAACGTAAAATGCCGGGCAACAGTTTTACTAAGCACAAAGTCAACAACTTCAATTGAAGCGCCAAGTCAACCTGAATTCTGTACATTATGTAGTACTAAGAAACAAGCTATTCAGTAATCACAAATTTTTTCTTTTTTTTTGGTCCCCCTTACCATCAAGTTTCACATGGTGAATGATGCCAGAGGTGTAATTCAAGAGTCCTTTGAAGGGATAAAGTTGGCTATAAACAGTGGAAATCCCTCTCTGCACATTAGTATACTTGCCACTCTTTTTCCCATACCACACTTCACTAGCAACCGTTTTAGGATCAAGAGGTGTCACATTCAAACCAATCTGCGCATCCCCTAACCAAATCAAAACCAACCAGATCAAATAAACAAGGATTATTCTCGCTAATGCCCCGGCCATTGTCATTTTGTCCCATTAACTTTAAAAACTCCAACTTCCCTCTTTGAATTTAAATTAATCTTATTTAATCCCTTCTATTAGAATTTCTATTAAAAACAGTTTAAAAAAGAGGGGTTAAAGTAAAGCTTATACCGTATCCTTTTCGTATGTTTTCAACATAAATTCTAACATAAGAGGTTAAATAACACTCATTTTCCTCTTTTTTGACGTATTTTAATTCCACTAGCAGGAATTAAATGAACCGCTACAAGGTGGGAATGCACAAGTAATATGTATAAAATAAACAAAACCAGAAAACAACTGAAAAAGAAAAGGAAAAAAAAGTTTTGAGTATTTTGAAGGGAAAATACCAGTAACCCAAGAGACCCACATTGAAGTTGGTGAAGATATAGCAAGAGCAATCTGTTCTGGGAAATTTGAGGTCACATTTTTCTTGAGTCTAGGATGATCCATGGGCAAGTCATCACTGCCTCTCCGAAGGGATGGATCAAAACGCCGAGTGACAGGCTTGAATGGGCCTTCTAGAGTTGTGGGTATTTGAGCTTTATTCACCAAAATATTTGTTACCATCAATATGATGATCAGAGGAATCCATAGTGAGGTCTTTATTTTCATGGGAATTTCTTGTTCTTTTGAGTTGATGAAGATGGTTTAAGAAACTTGGAAGATGTCCAGTTATGGGTTCGTTAAATTATGCAGTTATTTACTTATGTTTTATTTATTTTTGGGCATCTTTGAAACGGATAAGTGGAATATGCTTAAGTTACTTTTAGTTCGATGAGATTTCTTTGTCAGCAATGTGATGTGCTGTCCATGAAGTTTGGTAAGATAGTCGATCAGAGAGTTTGTTCACACATGACACAAGTGCCATGAAATAAAACCGAAAAAAAAAAAAAAAAAAAAAAGCTGGCAGGGCAACCACCTCTGGCAACTTATACAATCTTTTTTATAACTTATCATCATTAGATGATTAGATCACATAAATTATTTTTAGAGCACCTGCTTATTGAAGAAAAGAGGTCAATAAATGAGATAATATAATTTCTTTTTAGCAAGTTTTTGGCTGTAGCCGGTACTTTTTCGCTTTTTCCCAACCGATAGAGTACGTTATAGAACCACGAATTTGAATCTAGTGGTAGAAAAAGATAAAGGAGCACCAAACTAAAATAAAACCTCTCATGTATAATTCAATACCAATTGTAGAGGCAGATGACCCTTTTTTAAGGATTTTTCAGAAAAAAAAGTCGAGGTTTTATAAAATTAGTAAAATGACCCCTTTTTTTTTATTAATTTAATAGTTAATCACCAATTAAATAGTGTATTATTTAATAAATTATTAATTAACTTAAGTTTATTATTGATTAACTCGATAATTTTTCATTATTAATCAATATCAATTAATAACTAACCAAAATCAATCGGTAATTAATCAATTTCAATCAATAAATTAAATATTTATTAATAATAAATTATTATAATGAATCAGTCAATTAAATTAATCATTAATTAACTATTAAAAATAAATTATTAATATGTTATAATAATGAATTGGCCAATTAAATTAATCATTAATTAATTATTGAAAAAAATAATTATTTTATTAAATAAAAAAATTCAACCATTTATTTAAAAAATAAAAAGTTCGGTCATATTTATTAAAAAAAAAAGGTGGTAAAATAGTATTTGCTCCTTCCAATCGCTCACTTTCACGACAGCAGCAACAAGAAGCATCAAACAACCAAGAATTGGATCTCGAGCGAGGGTCGATGAAAGGTTGTAGAGCTTGTGGGAGTCGTCATCATTGGCGGCGACGAGGAGGGAGTCATGGGACTCGGACCAGCTTCTCCGACATCGCAAAACTCAGAAGGCAAAAGCAATTAAAGTGGAAATGGAGATAGCAGCAGTCACAAATAGCCGAAATCAACCTCCAAAAATTATCTGCAAGTAGAAGCAGAGTAGCAAAAATATTTGCTAAAAAACAAGTTCTGCGCTATCTTCATGGACGAGAGTAAATACGGTCCAGATTACTAATATCATATGGGTATGGCCATTTAACTAAAAGCGTATAGATCAAATTTTCCACAATCAACTTTATAGAGTTTATTTTCTTTTTATGTAATGGTTTTTGAGTCAAGAAACCTGTTACAGTAATCAATACATGACGTCTTGTTGTTTATGGTGAAATCCGAAATTAACGACCTTTTTAGCGAGTCATAGTGCTCAAAATTATGTCGAATATGTAGGCCCCGTTCATTTCACTAATTCGATTTTAGAATTCGAGTTTTATTACAGTAAACAGCTCTCACAAACAATCACATCTAACTTTTTTGCTATAGTAAAAAGCTCTCACATAAAATCACATTTCAACTTGAATTAAAAACTCGAATCAGCGAACTAAACGGGCCCGTATTTTATGACACACTATTGGTTTCTCAAACTTAATTTTTTTAAAAAATTATACGAAAACGTGGTATCGATATCATTAATTATCAGTATTTTATGTTACTTTAATTACGAAGAAATCAAAGAGAAGAAAAAGAATTTTATCGTCATTCGGTTATGACGTTAATCTTGAATTCCTTTAACACCGTTGTGAGCTTTAAAATTCTACGAACATCACGGGCCTGTTTGTTTCCCTTTTTATTTCTATTTTTCACGGTTTTCGAGAATGAAAAATGAAAAGGCTAGAAGAAAATGCGTTTGGTGTAAAATTTTCTAAAAATGAAAAATAAAATCGTTTTTGTCATTTTTCTGAAAATCTGAAAATGATTTATTCTCCCTTTCATTTTCTCATCCGTTTTCGTTTTCTCTCCTCCGTTTTCCTTTTCTTTGAAAATCTGCGCCATTTGTTTTCATTTTTCACTCTTCTGCCCCCCATGTTTATTTAATATATTATTATTTTAAATATTATTACATGTTTTTTAAAATTAAACCACCAAACACAATTTTAGTTTTTTTTAAACTGAAAACAATCTCGGAATAAAACTATCAAACTCATTTTCAGAAATGATTCCAAAATGAAAATGAAAACGTTTTCGTTTTCATTTTCATACAAAAAACAAAAACGTTTTGGAATGAATTCCAAACACACCCCACAGTTTTTTCTCAACGTATCTCTAGATCAACGTAAACTCGAACGTGTGGATGTTCTAATAGGTTTCTTAACACATGAAAATAATAAATGAGAATGCCACCTATGGTTATCACCCATTTTTTAAAAAAATATGTGATATTTCTCATCATCTTTTTTTTGTATTGTATTTTCTCTATTTTTTAGCCCCTCTCTCTCAAATAATATGTACCATTATTTATAAAGAGATATTAGAAAAAAATTTTAATTTAAATAATTTAAATTAAAAATAATTTCCCACTACCACACTTACTGGGATTTTCTCACCTACTTTCTCTCAAAAGTTCTACGTGCACCTTTTTTTCTAAATATATATTAGGGAGAAACAGGAAAATAGACTAAGACTTGAGATAAATTAAAATTAATAGGTCAATAGTTTACATAAGTCAATAAATAGGCCAAATTACTGTTTTTGTCCATAACTTGTCTGGTTATGAACCATAACTTGACAAGTTATTGTCCATAATTCAGGGTTTTTGTCCATAACTTGTCTGGCTATGAACCATAACTTAACAAGTTTATCCATAATTTATCTGATTATAAATTATAACTTAATAAGTTATAACCTATTAATTTTTATAATTAAAAATTGACCTGTATACTTTTTTAAACTTTTTATGTTGGCCTATTTTTTACTATATTTTCGTATATATTATACATATAGGCTTAATTTGATAGGGATTTTAGGAGCCCAAAATAGATTATCTAATCAGCAAAGCTGTTTTTTACGTTTGATAAAAATATAAAAAAGTGATTCTGAAAGAATTTGGGGAGAATTTGAAGCCAAAATCAGAAGAAGTCTTTGGGCTATTTTGATTCTAGATTGTTCGGCAATCTGAGAGACTCCTTTAATGAAATTTTCGTTATTACCGATTTTACCCCTACTGAATGAAAACAATTCTAGACCTAAAAAATTTTGCTCTGCGCGGTCTTGTTCATCTTCTCTCCCGAGCTCTCTCGTCTCCCTCTCTGCTTTCTCTTCATGCTCTCTCTCTCTCTCTCCCCGTTTCTCTATCTGCTCTCTATGTTCTCTCGGTCTCTCTCTGTGCTCGTCAGGGTTCAATCTCCGGTCCTACTTCTTCCCCTTGCCACAGTCACCGCTCGGTGCACACCCCCTCTGTGCAAACATCGCCTCTCCTCTTCCTCTACGATCTCCCCTGCTGCTTCAACGCCGGCATGCTCAACCGCTGGTGCTACGGCTAGATGCCGGTCACCGGCCAAAAGTGGCCACCTTGGTCGAAGAACTCCAGACTTAAGCGGCAGCACAGCGTCGACTACTGGATGATGTGCTCGCTTCTGTACGACGGTGATGGGAGAGAAGTCGTTAGGGTTTCGGATTCAGAAATGGTTGAAGCCTTCTTCGTGTCGTTCTTCTCCTCTCCAAGCTTCAACACTCACGGCCATAACATGACCGATCTGAAAACTCAGATTGATCACCAATTGCAGGTGTTCTGTTTGATTCCTTAATCTAATCGTTCATCGTTTAGGCTTAAATTAATTCATTATCATGTTGTTACGTTTTCATTGCTGAATTGGTATTGAAGTGACAAAATTCACTTGTATTTTCTATTCTCAACCGTGATTTTAGATTTAGTGAGATTGGAATTTCTGGTATTGAAGCAGCAATTGCGCTAGATTAGGAATTCATAAATGTAAGAATAAAAACAAATAATAAGGTTTAAGAATATGATGTGATTTTGTAGTTTATTTGGCTCCAATTTTAGTCGTTAGTTAGTTTGATTTCTACTATAAGGTATTGAAATAGTCTATTACAATCTAACAATCTGTTTGGTCAATTTATTATAATCAAGTGGATTACATATGGAACAAAAAACAAACATGTGCATAATGAATTTGTACTTGTTAGTGAGAAAATCTAATGGCAGGTTTTGTTTGCAAAAGGGTTGGCCTGAGTTTGTAAAGTATTATTCCCTAGGCTTTGGGCACTTTCTAGTTTTTAGATATGAAGGGAATTCTAGATTCCATGCTTGCATATTTGATACAACTACCGTCGAGATCGAATATCCTCTTATTCGAGCGCATTCTGATGGGCCTAAAAGAAAAGAAATCAAAGATGATGACTCTGTTGAAGTCTTGGAGGATTTGTCACCACATCCCAGAAAAAGAAAGAGCTCTCCTTTACCATGTTCTCAGCCCCACAAGAAATTCAGAACCAGTCCCATTTGTGAAACCGATATCAAAGGGACTCGAAACAATGAAAGGATACTTAAGAATTCAATGAGGAATGGAGATTTACACCATTCAAAGTCAATGAGAGGCATGCGAAAATTTTTACTTTCCTCCTTCAAGAAATTGATTTTTTGGTACTTGAACAAACTGTTGTTTCCATGTAGAGTAGTTTTCTTGTATTGTTTATTCTCTTTTATCTTGTTTCCAGTTTCTGCTGAAGATGGTAATGGGGACAAATCTATCATGCCAAGATGGAGGCTATCTGAGGTGCAAAGCTTTACTTACAAGGTTGTCATCAAACCATCTCATGTCGGTAAATACTTTGACATGGTAAGATTAATTTCTTATAAAGGCTTTTTTTAAGGCAGTAATAAAGCCATTTTCGAATTTCAGCTGGTAATCGGGGCAGAACTAACTCATTGAAGCCAAAGAGAAATGTAAAAGTCAAGACTGAGTGTGATTGTACTAGCAAACATCAAGAGGAAACTAAAGTTGAACCCGGTAAACATACTGGTTTAAGACATAAGAGATCTCAAATATTATAACAAATTTAGATTACTGACCCTTTTCTGCTTTTTATGCAGGCAAGTTTTGGCAAGGCCAGGTCACTCGTGTTCCGAAATTTTCAGGAGATTCTAGAGCCACTGAAGCAGCCAGCAGATTCTCATCGAAAAATCCCTTCTTCAAAAAGCTAATAACTTCATCTTACCTCCATACTCATGTAGAATTACAATTAGTTTCACACAAATATGGTTCACATGTGGGTTTTCCGCATGAAAAAGTGGCTAATTAAGGATCCTAGCTCAGAAAATCAGCCAAACACCAATACTACACTCACACACACCAGAAACAGTAAGAAAATGAGAATAATTGGAAGAAATTTTATTAATCTAATCAGCCAAAAACACCAAATTACACTAAAATGTAAAGATAGAACGGAGAATTCGAGTACTCCGGGAACTCCTAATTTAGTGGTATTCGAGAGACCACCGCTCTCCTTAATCTCAGTTTCTCAAAACTCTCCAAATCACAACATACCTCTAGTGAGCTACTAAGCCCTTTATTTATACTAATTCTTACTAACTATACCAGCTCACTAACCAAACAAGTTCCTAAGTCATTAACGGATTCTAACATTACCCCCGCCCTAAAGAAATACCTTGTCCTCAAGGTGTTAAGTAATCGCAGCCGTGTGTCTCCACTTCCTTCCGATTCCTATCACGCCAATTCCATTCAATCCCCCTTCAGCCACCCCGCTCTTTGTAGATCCGACCCCAATCGGACCGAAATAAGAAGACCCAATCCAAATGTCACTGGAATTGTCCTTAATCGCGTTGGAAGTGTGCAGCCCAGCCTTAACAGCATCAGAACCAACCCAAATCACGCCGGATTTGAGAAACCCAGCCCTTGGCTCGCCAGAATATGCCCTAATCGCACCATAATCACGAAGCCCAGCCCCAATTGCATGGAAATCAGCCCCAATTGCGCAAAAATCAGCCCCAATCACGTTGGAATTCCAAGACCCAATTCTAATTGCTCCAAAATCATCCCTCATGACACTTGGATTCCAAGTCCCAGCCCTCCCATCGAGAGACCCAGCCCCCAAATCGCCAGAATTGATCTTAATCGTGTCGGAATTGCAAATCCTAGCCTTCATGGCGTCAGAACTAGCCCCAAGTACACTGGAATCAACCCCTTTCACGCCGGAATTGTGAGGCCCTATCCAAACAACAGCCGAATCATCGAGCCAAGCCTCCGTCGCGCCAAGATCTGTCTCCGTAGCACCGGAATCAGCCCCTTTCACGCCAGAATCGCGAGGCCCGATCCAAATAGGTCCGGAATCAACCCCAACTGCGACTGAAACAGGGATGGGTTCCCTGTTCCGAGGGCAGAGCAAGCCTCTCCTCCTCTAACTCCAGCTCCCATTCCAATTCCCATCGCCGAACAAGCTCTGCCGCCCTCTCCTGACGGTCGCGACCTCCCTCCGCCCTCCTCCCGTCGTCGAACAACCCCTCACGCTACCACCCAGCCCCAGATCGCGATGGATCTCGCGCTCCTCCATGAGACCAACGTCTCTCCGGCGTCAGAACTCCCTCTCGCGGCCTCAATCTTCGCGAATCGGCGCTTCCCGGCGAAGATCCGCCTGATTTGGCACCTCCACTCCGCCTGGATCGACGCGATCTGGGCTCTCCTCGCCCTGAGGCGCGCGATCTCGCCTCTCCCCGTCCCGTCGTTCGCCGTCGCGATCCAACTCGGCCTTCCCGGCCATTGGCCGCGCCGCCAGCAGTGCCTCCATCCTCCACAGCACCGCCTGCACGTCTTCCATTTGAGTCCGAACCTTCCCCACCAGGTCCTGGAGCCCCCCGATACTCCCTCCAGAAACCTTGAGATTACCTCTCAGAATAGCCCTAAGTTTCTCTCTTAACTCAAAAGGCTCCATGGATCGTAGATGCTCTGATACCATTGTTAGGATCCTAGCTCAGAAAATCAGCCAAACACCAATACCACACTCACACACACCAAAAACAACAAGAAAATGAGAATAATTGGAGGAAATTTTATTAATCTAATCATTCAAGAACACCAAATTACACTGAAATGTAAAGGATAGAGCGGAGAATTTGAGTACTCCGGGAACTCCTAATTTAGTAGTATTCGAGAGACCACCGCTCTCCCTAATCTCAGTTTCTCAAAACTCTCTAAATCACAATATACCTCTAGTGAGCTACTAAGCCCTTTATTTATATTAATTCCTACTAACTATACCAGCCCACTAACCAAAGAAGTTCCCAAGTCATTAACGGATCCTAACATTATACTAATTGGTTTTTTATGTTACCTTTAATACGAATTTTGTTCTGGTGCAATAGCCGCCTTCCTTGTTGCAAGATCAACAGATCACTCCTAAATTTAAATTATCTTGTTGTGTGCAGCGATTACCAAATGATTTTGGGAGGAGTTATTTTGAAAAGAAGACGCAAAATATAACACTACAGACGGGGAAGAATTCGTGGAGTGTGACCATGGTTTACAATGCACCACATTCCTACCTTTTTCTCGTGGATGGCCAACGTTTGCAAGGGAGAATTCTTTGCGTCCAGGAGATGTTTGTGTGTATGAGCTGATTAAAGAATGACATTGTGCTAAAAGTTACTGTTTTTAAGGAGTGATGATCTGTTAGTTTAGTTTAGTTACTGGTTTGCTCTATGTTTTAGACATTGTTGTTTTATCAATGTTTTGACATTATTGTACTAAATACCGCTATTTGTATCCATTATCAATGTTATTTTCTATTATTTCAATTGAATTATGTTTAAATGTATGTTGCTTCGTTGTTAACAGAGATGTCTAACAATAATGAACATGACTTAATTCTTTTTACACCTCTACCAGTTTTTGAACGAAGAATGTACATTTTTGTTGTATATATTGATTACTCATTAATGCTCTTTTTAGTTGTAACTATATATTGTGAATGAAAAAATGAAAAAAAAAAAATTAATTATCATAATTTATTAAAACTTAGAATCATAGCATTATGTTTTTTTTTAAGTTTAACAAATATTTCTAAATACCAAAAAAAATTATATATATTTAAGTTTCATATCATGTTTATTTTGGTCATTTTACATACCCACAGCAATTCAACCTCAAAATTTACCAAACGTTATTACACTGATTTTGAAACAAGCACAGCTAGTATAATTACAGTTTACCAAACACTCAGTTGCTTCTTGTAACAACTGCTTTTTCTTTTAGCATAACTAAAAACAATTTTTTCAAAATCCACAACATTACCAAATTCCACAACATATATTGGGCCCGACGTTGTACTATCATAGCGCGCTAGCCACGGAAAGCATGGGATAGCAAATCCCATACTAACCGTGGCAATAAGACCGCTCACCGGTCACATCAAGGGTGTACAACGCCATTTAAAAACATAAAAATACATATATACATTTTTCTTCAAAACATCATCATATGAAATATTAAAAACGTCATAACATCATCATAAACATCAAAATCATATACTCCTCAATTCTTCAATTCATGTTGCAGGTGAGAGTGTACTGACATGAGCGCCTTACTTAACCTTTTTAAATTTCGCAACGGTGACGCAACGAATGAGGTCCTCGGGTGCTCGCCTCTAGAACCATTCATGCCATAAATCATAAATAAGATTACTAAAAAAAAGCCTTATCATCTCATCAAATACATTAATCACATTAAAACAGCATTTAATATACCATTTCACCATTCATTAACATCAAGACATAAAAACCCACTGATTACACAACTACAAAACTTAATAAAAACTGGCAGCCTGACCTTTACTCATTTAAAAACTCATAATAATTCACATAGAACTCCAAATGACCTGAGTTCTTTTGCTCCCTGAAACCCTGTTTTAAAATAAGCTATGAAACCTGGAGAAATTCCAGCACTCTATAATCCGAAATTAACCAAGAAATTCCCTTTCAATCGTCCAAAACTCATCAAAAATCATGTATGTCAGCCAATTATATTAACCACAACTCTAACATGCTTCCAACATAATCATATCCGAGAATTATTAAAACATGCGTCATACAACAACTCTCATCAACACCTAACTAGAAATCATATATAACTCAAATAAATCATGAAAACAACCTAAACATGTTTCTAATATTATCCACAATAAATAAATAAATAAATACAAACAATAAATAAAGAAAATAGAGGATTAACACTCACATAAGCGTAAAAGAAATTCTAAATATGCCATTCTATCAATCAATCAAAATTATCATCGTAGCAAAAATTAAAAACTTAGCGATAACAATCTCATTACATTTTCCTCAACAATAACGTCACAATTATCATACACAAAACTATGAAAATATATGAACATCTCCCTCCATCAATAACAAAAACACAAAATATTATGATAGGAACACATACCTTTAAAATAATTTTTCCAATATTGTGTTCTTCTTAAAAGAATAAAGGAAGATAATGAAAAATTCTATGGTGGCTAGGGCTCTTGAGAAAAAGTGACAGAGAGAGGTAAAAGAGAGAGAGGGTAGGAGTTTGAGAGGGAGAAAGCATAAAAATTTTCTAATGGGATGGAGGTGAAAACGTATGATTTAAAAGGAGTATTTTTTTTTCCTTACTTTTCCCTCCTCTGACGTCCACGCTAATCCCCCTTTTCTTGCATTGACAATGTAAATGGCTAAACTAAATCAAAGGAAAAGCTATATATATCCAAAGCATGAATCTGCCCATTTTACTTCTTGTGGTACGAGTATGGGTATATTTGCAAGTTGTCCACTTACTGCCACTAAGCCAAATGCAGAAAGAATCATGCAATATATATCAACTCAATTAAGAAAATTAATTGACTTGAATTGGGTGATTGATGGGCTGTCAATGAGGTAGAAATCGTGTTGCAAACCATGGACAAAGTTTCTTTATACGGTCATTGACTCCAAAGACATTAACTAATCCTCACCCTTAACAATTCATCATAGAAATAATCATCACCAAAAAAAAATGTAATAACATAAACGGTGGTTGGCTATTGATATTTTACATATATAACATATATATATATACATAGCTATATAATATGTATTTTGTAAAAACCATATATCCATATAATCTATCAATGGTATTAAATCAACATACATATTCACCAAATCATCATATAAAACTTAACAATTTGGCATGAACTTGTTCTTACACCACGCGTCCTCGTCGCGTTCACCTGCGGAATTAAACTCATTATGATGTTAGAATTCACTAAATATAACACCATAA